AAGAGATAAGGTCAAGAAGCACCTATTGGAGCTGGATGTGAGAAAAGCTGTTGGGCCGGACGGAATCTCACCATGGGTATTGAAAGAGTGTGCAGGAGCACTTTGCTTGCCACTCTCCATAGTGTATAGTAGGTCACTGGAGACAGGAGACCTACCAGAAATATGGAAGACTGCTAATGTAGTACCAATATACAAAAAGGGTGACAGACAAGAGGCACTGAACTACAGGCCACTGTCCTTATCTTGTATACCATGCAAGGTGATGGAGAAGATTGTGAGAAAAAACCTAGTAACACATCTGGAGAGAAGAGACTTCGTGACAACCCATCAACATGGGTTCAGGGAGGGTAAATCTTGCCCTACAGGCTTGATAGAATTTTAACGATCAGGTGACAAAGATTAAGCAGGAAAGAGAAGGATGGGCGGACTGCATTTATTTGGACTGTCGGAAAGCCTTTGACACAGTTCCCCATAAAAGATTGATACATAAGCTGGAGAAACAGGCAGGAGTAACTGGTAGGGCGCCCCAGTGGATAAGGGAGTAACTAAGCAATAGGAAGCAGAGAGTTCCAGTGAAGGGATGAGACCTTAGAGTGGCGTGAAGTCACCAGTGGAGTCCCACAGGGCTCTGTACTCGGACCTATCCTGTTTCTGATATACGTAAATGATCTCCCAGAGGGTATAGACTCATTCCTCTCAATGTTTACTGACGACGCCAAAATTATGAGAAGGATTAAGACAGAGGTGGACAGCTGGAGGCTTCAAGAAGACCTGGACAAGCTGCAGGAATGGTCGAACAAGTGGCTGTTCGAGTTTAACCCAAACAAATGTAATGGAATGAAGATAGGGGTAGGAAGTAGGAGACCAGATACAAGGTATCATTTAGGAGATGAAATACTTCATGTGTCAGAGAGAGAGAAAGACCTGGGGGTTGATATCACGCCAGACCTGTCCCCTGAAGCTCATATCAAGAGGATAACATCAGCAGCATATGCCAGGTTGGCTAACATAAGAAAGGCCTTAAGAAACTTGTGTAAGGAATCTTTCAGAACATTATATACCACATATGTCAGATCAATCCTGGAGTATGCGGCTCCAGCATGGAGTCCATATCTAGTCAAGCATAAGACTAAACTGGAAAAGGTTCAAAGGTTTGCTACCAGTCTAGTACCTGAGCTGAGAGGTATGAGCTACGAGGAGAGACTACGGGAATTAAACCTCACTTCATTAGAAGACAGAAGAGTTAGGGGGGACATGATCACCACATTCAAGATTCTGAAGGGAATTGATAGGGTAGATAAAGACAGGCTATTTAACACAAGGGGCACACGTACAAGGGGACACAGGTGGAAACTGAGTGCCCAAGTGAGCCACAGAGATATTTGAAAGAACTTTTTTAGTGTCAGAGTGGTTGACAAATGGAATGCATCAGGAAGTGATGTGGTGGAGGCACAAGGAAAAGGCGCAGGCAGAGGGAAGGGAGCCAGGGAACCTCAACCCCCAACTCAGCAATCCCAGTGGGGAGTGTGGAACCCCAACCCAGCACCTCAGGAACGAACCCCAGAGGGATCTGCAACATCCCAACTCACCACCTTATAGGTGGGGAGTTCCACCATTCCACCCAATTCCACCCTCCCTCCCTACCCTGAGTTCCCCCTTCCCACCCACCCCCTGGTCTTCCTCCTGCTCCAAGCCGGCCCAGACACGAACTAGGTCCTCCATCCCTCACCCCAGTTCTAAGCCATCCTCCCCCTGCCCCTCCTACCCACCCACCTCCGCCTCCCTCAGAACCCCTTGTAACTACCCCACAGGAGGATGAGCAGCAGCAATGGTCATGGAACAGCTTCCTGCACTAGTGGGGAGGGTGGGTGAAAATGTACATAGGAAAGTGAGCTTCAAGGTAATGTACTCAATCATTGATGGGATTACCAACAAAGCAAGGGAACTGGCAGAAAGGGTGCAGGAAGAAAATCCAGATGTAATAGGACTCACAGAAACAAAATTATCAGGAGTCATAATAAATGCTGTGTTTCCAAAGGACTTTTATATAGTAAGGAAAGAGAGAGATGGGAGTGGAGGAGGAGGTGTGGCTCTGCTGATAAGAAAGGACTGGAGCTTCGAAGAGATGGAAATTCCGGGCTGCAACGGATTCAGAGATTATTTAACCGAAACTATGACAATGGGTGGACCTAAGATAATAGTGGCAGTCGTTTACAAACCTCCATTAAATGACAGAAGACCCAGACAAGAGTTCGTCAGAAACAACATGGCTACCAAAAAACATAATAGAAAGAGCAGCTTCAGTTGCTTGCAGGAATGGATCCATACTCTTAATCATGGGCGATTTCAACCATGTAAAGATAGACTGGGAGAATGGGGACCTACATGGAGGTGAAGACACATAGAGATCTAAACTTTAGGAAGTGAGTACAAGGATGTTTCTGAGCCAACATGTCAAGGGGCCCACAAAAATGAGAGGAAACAAAGAACCAGCTAGACTCGACCTGATTTTCACCTTAAATGACTCAGAAATAAGGGAAGTCGAATATGAAGCCCCCATAGGAAAGAGTGACCACAGTGTATTGATATTTGAGTATCTGGTAGAAGTAGGGATAACCTATCCAAGGTTGGGATTGGAAGGAAAACGACTAAATTGCCGAAGAGGAAAATATGACGAGATGAGGAATTTCCTAATGGGAATACCATGGGAAACAACTCAGAGAAACGACTGTACAGGATATGATGGATTATGTCACTCAGAAGTGTCAGGAGGCTGCAGACAGGTTTATCCCAGTCCAAAAATGTGAAAAATGAAAAGCAACAGAAGAATCCTTGGTTCAACGAGGAATGTGCAGCAGTAAAGCAATTGAGTAAAAGAACATGGCGAAACTACAGGAACAACAGAACACCAGAGAGCAGGGAGAGATACCAGGGGTCCAGAAATGAGAACATCAGAGTGAGGAGAGAGAGAGGCAGTACGAAAATGACATCGCAAGTAAAGCCAAGACCCAACCAAAACTGCTCCACAGCCACATCAGGAGGAAAACAGCAGTGAAGGAACAAGTGATGAAACCGAGAAAAGGGGTGAACAGATACACACAGAACGACAAAGAGGTGTATGAAGAACTCAACAAGAGATTCCAGGAGGTCTTCACAATTGAACAAGGAGAGGTCCCTGCACTAAATGAGGAGGCAAACCGAACACCCTTGCAGGAAATTTACCTCACCAGTGATGAGGTCAAAAGGAATCTGTTGGAGCTGAATGTGTCAAAGGCTGTTGGTGCTGAAGGAATCTCATCGTGGATTCTAAAAGAAGGTGCAGAAGCATTAAGTGTGCCACTCTCTATGGTGTATAACAGGTCACCGGAAACGGGAGACCTTCCAGAAAGCTGGAAGACAGCTAATGTAGTCCCAATTTACAAAAAGGGTGGCAGGCAATAGGCACTGAACTATAGGCCAGTTTCCCTAACTTGTATACCAAGCAAGATGATGGAGAAGATTGTGAGGAAAAGGCTCGTAGAGCATCTGGAGGGAAACAGCTTTGTAACACACCACCAGCATGGGTTCAGAGATGGTAAATCGTGCCTCACAGGCCTAATAGAATTCTATGACCAAGCAACACAAATTAGGCAGGAAAGAGAAGGGTGGGCAGACTGCATTTTCTTGGACTGTCAGAAAGCCTTTGACTCAGTACCTCACATAAAGCTGTTACAAAACTTGGAGCAGCAGGCAGGAGTAAAAGGTAGGGTGCTCCAGTAGATAAGGGAGTATCTAAGCCATAGGAAACAGCGAGTAACGGTGAGGAGGAAGGCATCAGAGTGGCGCGATGTCACCAGCGGGGTTCCACAGGGCACTATACTTGGACCCATCCTGTTTCTAGTATATGTAAACGACCTTCCAGAGAGTATAGACTCATTCCTCTCAATGTTTGCTGATGACGCAAAAATTATGAGTAGAATCAAAACAGATGAAGATAGACAGAGACCACAGGACGACCTGGACAAACTGGAGGAATGGTCTAGAAAATGGCTGCTAAAGTTCAACTCAGGAAAGTGTAAAGTAATGAAATTAGGCGAAGGGAGCAGGAGGCTGAACACAATGTACCATCTGGGAGGTGAAATCCTGCAAGAGTCAAATAGAGAGAAAGATCTAGTGGTCGATATCACACCGAACCTGTTCCAAGAGGCCCACATTAAAAGGATATCATCACCGGCATATGCTAGACTGGCCAATATAAGAACTGCCTTTAGAAACTTGTGTAAGGAATCGTTCAGGACCCTGTATACCACTTATGTAAGACCAATCCTGGAGTATGCAGCTCCAGCCTGGAGTCCATACCTAGTTAAACACAAGACGAAGTTAGAGAAGATTCAGCGGTATGCCACCAGACTGGTCCCGGAACTGAGAGGAATGAGTTACGAGGAAAGGCTAAGGGAGCTGAACCTCACAACCCTGGAAAACAGAAGAGACGTGAGGAGACGGGGAGACGTGATAACCACCTACAAAATTCTCAGGGGAATTGATTGGGTGGACAAAAACTCTTTAGCGTGGGTGGAACACGAACAAGGGGACACAGATGGAAACATAGTACCCAGATGAGCCAGAGAGACGTTAGAAAGAATTTTTTCAGTGTCCGGGTAGTTAACAAATGGAATGTATTAAGTAGTGTTTTGATGGAGGCTGACTCCATACACAGTTTCAAATGCAGATATGATAGAACCCAATAAGCTCAGGAATCCGTACACCAGTTGATTGACAGTTGAGAGGCGGGACCAAAGAGCCAGAGCTCAACCCCCGCAAACACAACTAGGTGAGTACAACTAGGTGAGTACTGAAATCACAAAAGCATGATGCATCATATGAACAAATCCACAAGAGCTGTGACGAGGGTTCGAATCTACGTCCAAGGTGATTCCTGACGCTGCCTTGATCAACTGAGCTACAACAAGGTCAAAAGAATTGCAACTAGAAGTTCTACTGAATTTAATTGGATCCTGCAGCATCTCCGAGACACAAACTAGGGTTTTACTCAATTCCTCTATGCACCATGCGGAAATTGATGAAACACCAGATGATGATGTTATTGAAACACCCACTGCTGCAGCTGCTGTTGTTGATGAAACACCCAGTGCTGCAGGTGCTGTTGATGAAACTCCCAGTGCTGCAGCTGCCGTTGATGAAACACCCTGTGCTGCTGCTGCCGTTAATGAAACACCCGGTGCTGCAGCTGTCGTTGATGAAATACACAGTTCTGCTGCCGTTGATGAAACACCCAGTGCTGCAGCTACACTTGATGAAATACCCAGTGCTGCAGCTGCCGTTGATGAAACACTCAGTGCTGCATTTGCCGTTGATGAAACACCCAGTGCTGCAGCTGCTGTTAATGAAACTCCCAGTGCTGCTTCTGGTGTTGATGAAACACCCAGTGCTGCAGCTGCCATTGATGAAATACACAGTGCTGCAGCTGTCGTTAATGATACACCCAGTGCTGCTGCAGCCGATGATGAAATACACAATGTTGCTGCTGCCGTTGATAAAACGCCCAGTGCTGCAGCGGCGGTTGATGAAACACCCGCTGCTTCGGCCGTTGATGAAACCCCCAGTGCTGTGCTGCTTCATCCATTGATGAAACACCCAGTGCTGTTTCGGCCGTTGATGAAACACCCAGTGCTGCAACTGCCGTTGATGAAACACCTAGTGCTGCAGCTACGGTTGAAGAAACTGTGCTGCAGCTGCTGTTGATGAAACACCAACTGCTGCTGCTGCTGCCATTTATGAAACACCCAGTGCTGCAGCTGCCGTTGATGAAACACCCAGTGGTGCTCCTGCCGTTGATGAAACACCCAATGCTGCAGCTGCCGTTGATGAAACACCCAATGCTGCAGCTGCCGTTGATGAAACACCCAATGCTGCAGCTGCCTTTGATGAAACACCCAGTGCTGCATCTGCCGTTGATGAAACAGCCAATGCCGCAGCTACCGCATTGATGAAACACCCAGTGCTGCAGCTGACGTTGATGAAACACCCGATGCTGAAGCTGCCGTTGATGAACCACTCACTGTTTATGCTGCAGTTGATGATACACTCAGTGCTGCTGCTGCTGTTGATGAAACACCCGATTCAGCAGCTGCCGTTGATGAAACACCCGGTTCTGCACCTGATGTTGATGAAACACCCAGTGATGCAGCTGCCGTTGATGAAACACACATTGCTGTAGCTACCGTTGATGAAACACCCAGTGCTGCAGCTGCTATTGATGAGACACCCGGTGCCGCTGTTATCGTTGATGAAACACCCAGTGCAGTAGCTGCAGTTAATGAAATACCCATTGTTGCAGCTACCGTTGATGAAACACCCAGCGCGGCAGTTGCCGTTGATGAAACACCCAGTGATGCAGCTGCCGTTGACGAAACACCCATTCCTGCAGCTATCATTGATGAAACACCCAACGCTGCAGCTGCCGTTGATGAAACACCCGGTGGTGCAGCTACCGTTGATGAAACACACAGTGCTGCAGCTGCTGTTGATGAAACACCCAGTGCTCTTGCCACCGTTGATGAAACACCCGGTGTTGCAGCCACCGTTGATGAAACACCCGGAATTACAGCTACCGTTGATGAAACACCCGGTACTGCAACCACCGTTGATGAAACACCCCAGTGCTGCAGCCAGCGTTGATGAAACACCAGGAACTGCAGCTACCGATGATGAAACACCCGGTGCTGCAGCCACCGTTGATAAAACACCCGGTACAGCAGCTACCTTTGATGAAGCACTCAGTGCTGCAGCTACCGTTGATGAAGCACCCGGTGCTGCAGCCACCGTTGATGAAGCATCCGGTGATGCAGCTACCGTTGATGAAGCACCCGGTGCTGCAGCCACTGTTGATGAAACACACTGTGCTTCAGCGACGATTGATGAAACGCCCGGTGCTGCAGTCACCATTGATGAAACACCAAGTGCCTCAGCTGCCGTTAATGGAACACCCGGTGCTGCTGCTGCCGTTGATGAAACACCCAGTGATGCAGCTGCCGTTGATGAAACACCCAGTGCTTCAGCTGCCTTTGATGAAACACCCAGTGCTGCAGATTCCGTTGATGAAACACCCAGTACTGCTTCGGCCGTTTATGAAACACCCAGTGCTGCAGCTGAAGTTGTTGAAACACCCAGTGGTGCAGTGGATGTTGATGAAACACCCAGTGCTGCAGCTACTGCGTTAATGAAACGCCCACTGCTGCTGCTGCTGTTGATGAAACACCCAGTGCTGCTGCTGATGTTGATGAAACACCCGATTCTGCAGCTGCCTTTGATGAAACACCCGGTTCTACACCTGATGTTGATGAAACACCCAGTCCTGCCGCTGCCGTTAATGAAACACCCAGTGCTGCTGCAGCCGTAGATGAAACACCCAGTGCTGCTGCTGCCGTTGATGAAACTTCGCTATGGCTACAACCTTTGATGAAACACCCAGTGCTGCAGCTGACATTGATGAAACACCCATTGCTGCAGCTAGCGTTGATGAAACACCCAGTGCTGCATTTGCTATTAATGAAATACCCATTGTTGCAGCTACCGTTGATGAAACACCCAGCGCTGCATCTGCCGTTGATGAAACACCTGTGCAGCAGCTGACGTTGACGAAAGACCTGGTGCGGCAGCTACCTTTGATGAAACACCCTGTGCTGCAGCTACCGTCGATGAAACAGCCGGTGCTATAACTACTGTTGATGAAACCCCTGGTGCTGCAGCTACCGTTGATGAAACACCCGGTGCTGCAACTGCCGTGGTGAAACACTCGGGTCTTTAGCTACCGGTTTGATGACACACCGAGTGCTCCAGCCACCGTTGATGAAACACCCGGTGCTGCAGCCACCGTTGATGAAACACCCGGTACAGCAGCTACGTTTGATGAAACTCTCAGTGCTGCAGCCACCGTTGATGAAGCACCCTGTGCTGCCGCTACCGTTGATGAAGCACCCGGTGCAGCAGCCACCGTTGATGAAACACCCCTGTGCTGCAATCACCGTTGATGAAACACCCAGTGCTGCAGCCACCGTTGATGGAACACCCGTTGCTACTGCTGCCGTTGATGAAACACCCAGTGCTGCAGCTGCCGTTGATGAAACAACCGGTGCTGCAGCTACCGTCGATGAAACAGCCGGTGCTATAGCTACCGTTGATGAAACCCCCGGTGCTCTAGCTACCGTTGATGAAACCCCCGGTTCTGCAGCTACCGTTGATGAAACACCCAGTGCTGCAGCTACCGATGATGAAACACCCAGTGCTTCAGCTGCCGTTGATGAAACACCCAGTGCTCCAGCCACCGTTGATGAAACACCCGGTATAGCAGCTACCTTTGATGAAACTCTCAGTGCTGCAGCCACCGTTGATGAAGCACCCTCTGCTGCCGCTACCGTTGATGAAACATCCGGTATTGCAGCTACCGTTGATGAAACACCCGGTACTGCAGCTACCGTTGATGAAACACCCGGTGCTGCAGCCATCATTGATGAAACACCCGGTGCTGCATCCACCGTTGATGAAACACCCGGTACAGCAGCTACCTTTGATGAAACTCTCAGTGCTGCAGACACCGTTGATGAAGCACCCAGTGCAGCAGCCACCGTTGATGAAACACCCTTTGCTGCCGCTACCGTTGATGAAGCACCCAGTGCAGCAGCCACCGTTGACGAAACACCCCCAGTGATGCAATAACCGTTGATGAAACACCCAGTGCTGCATCCACCGTTGATGAAACACCCGGTACAGCAGCTACCTTTGATGAAACTCTCAGTGCTGCAGACACCGTTGATGAAGCACCCAGTGCAGCAGCCACCGTTGATGAAACACCCTTTGCTGCCGCTACCGTTGATGAAGCACCCAGTGCAGCAGCCACCGTTGACGAAACACCCCCAGTGATGCAATAACCGTTGATGAAACACCCAGTGCTGCAGCCACCGTTGATGAAACACCCGTTGCTACTGCTGCCGTTGATGAAACACCCAGTACAGTAGCTGCTGTTGATGAAATACTCATTTTTGCAGCTACCGTTGATGAAACACCCAGTGCTGCAGCTGCCGTTGATGAAACACCCATTGCTGCAGATATCGTTGATGAAACACCCAGTGCTGCAGCTGCCGTTGATGAAACCCCCATTGCTGCAGCCACCGTTGATGAAACACCCGGTGCTGCAGCCACCGTTGATGAAACACCCGGTGCTGCAGCTACCGTTGATGAAACATCCGGTGCTGCAGCCACCGTTGATGAAACACCCGGTGCTGCAGCCACCGTTGATGAAACACCCGGTGCTGCAGCCACCGTTGATAAAACATTCGGTAATCCAGCTTCCGTTGGTGAAACACCCGGTGCTGCAGCCACCGTTGATGAAACACCCAATGCTGCAGCTACCGTTGATGAAACATCCGGTGCTGCAGCCACCGTTGATGAAACACCCGGTGCTGCAGCCACCGTTGATAAAACATTTGGTAATGCAGCTGCCGTTGATGAAACACCCGTTGCTGCAGCCACCGTTGATAAAACATTCGGTAATGCAGCTGCCGTTGATGAAACACCCGGTGCTGCAGCCACCGTTGATAAAACATTCGGTAATGCAGCTTCCGTTGGTGAAACACCCGGTGCTGCAGCTACCGTTGGTGAAACACCCAGTGCTGCAGCCACCGTTGAGGAAACACCCGTTGCTACTGCTGCCGTTGATGAAACACCCAGTACAGTAGCTGCTGTTGATGAAACACCTGGTGCTTCAGCTACCGTTGATGAAACAGCCGGTGCTACAGCTGCCGTTGATGAAACACCCGGTGCTGCAGCTACCGTTGATGAAACACCCAGTGCTGCAGCTACCGTTGATGAAACACCCGGTGCTGCAGCCACCGTTGATGAAACACCCGGTGCTGCAGCCACCGTTGATGAAACTCCCAGTGCTGCAGCTACCGTTCATGAAACACCCGGTGCTGCAGCCACCGTTGATGAAACACCCAGTGCTGCAGCCACCGTTGATGAAACACCCTTTGCTGCAGCCACCGTTGATGAAACACCCAGTGCTGCAGCTACCGTTCATGAAACACCCGGTGCTGCAGCCACCGTTGATGAAACACCCAGTGCTGCAGCCACCGTTGATGAAACACCCAGTGCTGCAGCCACCGTTGATGAAACACCCTGTGCTGCAGCCGCCGTTGATGAAACACCCGGTGCTGCAGCCACCGTTGATGAAACTCCCGGAGCTGCAGCCACCGTTCATGAAACACCCAGTGCTGCAGCTACCGTTGATGAAACACCCGGTGCTGCAGCCACCGTTGATGAAACACCCAGTGCTGCAACTTCCGTTCATAAAACACCCGGTGCTGCAGCTGCCGTTGATGAAACACCCGGTGCTGCAGCTACCGTTCATGAAACACCCAGTGCTGCAGCTACCGTTCATGAAACACCCGGTGTTGCAGCTTCCGTTGATGAAACACCCGGTGCTGCAGCCACCGTTGATGAAACACTCGGTGCTGCTGCCACCGTTGATGAAACACCCTTTGCTGCAGCCACCGTTGATGAAACACCATGTGCTGCAGCAACCGTTGATGAAACACTCGGTGCTGCAGCCACCGTTGATGAAACACCCGGTGCTGCAGCCACCGTTGATGAAACACCCGGTGCTGCAGCCACCGTTGATGAAACACCCGGTGCTGCAGCCACCGTTGATGAAACACCCGGTGCTGCAGCCACCGTTGATGAAACACCCGGTGCTGCAGCCACCGTTGATGAAACACCCGGTGCTGCAGCCACAGTTGATGAAACAGCCGGTGCTGCAGCCACCGTTGATGAAACACACGGTGCTGCAGCCACCGTTGATGAAACACACGGTGCTGCAGCGGGTACTTTTTTGAAAACTACAACATCTTTTCCTTGGTGAAAATAATCTGAGTGTAGTTTCAACGGACATTACTATAACTATTGTACTACTGCCATGTGTTATGACCATTCCTATAATATACTAAGTAACCTGGAATACAATTTTCTGTAACATTAATGCTTCACTTGTCTATATTAATGTCTTTGAATGTGATTCCTCTTTAAATACGCGTGTTTTATGTTTATATATTCACATTTCAATATGTGCTAGTTGAACGCTTGATGGCTAGCTAAACCCCCTTGTGTTCACCTAGTTGTATTCACCTAATTATGCTTACGAAGGTTGAACTTTGCTCTATTGGCCCGCCTCTCACCTGTCAATCATCTGTTTCCAACTACTAACTAGCTATTTCCGCCCCCCCCACACACACACACTCACAGGAAGCAGCTCCGTAACAACTGTCTAATTCCCAGGTACCTATTTTCTGCTAGGTAACAGGGGCATTAAGGTGAAAGAAACTTTGCCCATTTGTTTGTGCCTGGTCGGGGAATCGATCCCGGGCCACAGAATTTCGAGTCCTGCGCACTGTCCACTCAGCTACCAGACCTCTTGTGTGTGTACATACGGGGGAGGGGGATGTGCACACCCCCTGAGTGTGTGTGTGTATGTGAGTATATCTATTTGTATCGGCAGTTTCTAACTATTAGTTCTTAGGCCCTGCCTTTTTATCCAATTTATTTTACCTCTATTATGTCTACTATATGTATTTCTCATACACACACACACACACACACACACACACACACACACACACACACACACACACACACACACACACACACACACACACACACACACACACACACACACACACACACACACACACACACACACATTCTCATAAAGCTGCCCGTTGCGGCTGTCTAACTCTCACGTACTTATTCACTGCTAGGTTAACACGGGCATCAGGGTGAAAGAAACTCTGCCCATTTGTTTCTGCCTCTGCCGGAGATCGAACCCTGGCCTATAGGACTCCGATCCCAGAGCGCTGTCCATGCAGTCGCGAGGCTCAGCTGTGTACTCACCTAATTGTGCTTGCGGGGGATGAGCTCTAACTCTTTGGTCCCGCCTCTCAACTGTCAATTAACTGATGTACAGATTCCTGAGCCTACTGGGCTCTATCATGTCTACATTTGAAACTGTGTATGGAGTCAGCCTCCACCACATCACTGCCTAATGCATTTCACTTGTTAACTATTCTGACACTGAAAAAGTTCTTTCTAACGTCTCTGTGGCTCATTTGAGTACTCAGTCTCCACCTGTGTCCCCTTGTTCGCGTATCACCCGTGTTGAAATGTTTAACCTTATCTATCCTGTCAATTCCTCTGAGAATTTTGTTGGTAGTAATCATGTCTCCCATTACTCTTCTGTCTTCCAGTGTCATGAGGTGCATCTCACCCAGCCTTTCCTCATAACTCATGCCTCTGAGTTCTGGGACTAGTCTAGTGGCATACCTCTGAACTTTTTCCAGCTTCGTCTTGTGCTTGACAAGGTACGGGCTCCATGCTGGGGCCGCATACTCCAGGATTGATCTTTCACATGTGGTATACAAGATTCTGAATGATCCCTTACACAGGTTCCTGAAAGCTGTTCTGATGTTAGCCAGCCTCGCATATGCCGCAGACGTAATTCATTTTATGTGGACTTCAGGAGACAGGTTTGTTGTGATATCAATTCCTAGATCTTTCTCTCTTTCCGTTTCATTTAGTACTTCACCTCCTATTTTGAATCCTGTGTCTGGCCTCCTGTTTCCACCGCCTAGTTTCATTACTTTGCATTTACTCGGGTTAGACTTTAGCAGCCATTTGTTAGACCATTCATTCAGTCTGTCCAGGTCGTCCTGTAGCTTCCTACTATCATCCTCTGTTTCAATCCTACTCATAATTTTTGCATCATCAGCAAACATTGAGAGAAGCGAGTCTATACCCTCCGGGAGATCATTTACATATATCAGAAACAGTATAGGTCCAAGGACTGACCCCTGCGGGACTCCTCTCGAAACGTTATGCCAATCCGAGACCTCACCAATCGCAGTGACTCGTTGTCTTCTGTTGCTTAGGTACTCCCTTATCCAACGGAGAACCTTCCCTGTCAATCCAGCCTGCATCTTCAGCTTTTTCACTAGCCTCTTATGTGGTACTGTATTAAAGGCTTTTTGGCAATCCAAAAATATGCAGTCTGCCCACCCCTCTCTTTCTTGCCTGATTTTTGCTACCTGGTCGTAAAATTTAATTAACCCTTGACTTGCCATCCCTGAACCCATGTTGATGCTGTGTTACAAAGTTCTTTCGCTCCAGATGTTCCACTAGCTTTCTTCGCACAATCTTCTCCATCAGCTTGATTGGTATGCAGGTTAGGGACACTGGCCTGTAGTTCAGTGTCATCTGTCTATCCCTTTTCTTGAATATCGGAACTACATTAGCTGCTTTCCAAATTTCTGGCAGATCCCCTGTTGCCAGTGATTTGTTATACTCTATGGAGAATGGCAGGCACAGTGCTTCTACCCCTTCCTTTAGTATCCTAAAGAGATTCCTTCTGGCCCTGTAGCCTTTGTCACATCCAACTGTAGTAAACACTTCCTTACTTTCCCACTGGTAATCTCAAACTCTTCTAGTGGTTCCTGGTTAACTATTCCCTCTCTTATCTCTGGAATTTCTCCTTCCTCTAAGGTGAAGACCTCCTGAAATTTTTTATTCAGTTCCTCACACACTTCCTTGTCGTTTGTAGTGAATCCTTGTGCCCCTATCCTTATTTTCATTACCTGTTCCTTTACTGTTGTTTTTCTCCTGATGTGGCTGTGCAATAATTTAGGCTGAGTCTTTGCCTTGCTTGCGATGTCGTTTTCGTATTGTCTTTCTGCCTCTCTTCTCATCCTCACATATTCATTCCTGGCATTCTGGTATCTTTCTCTGCTCTCCAGTGTCCTGTTATTCGTACAGTTTTTCCATGCCCCTTTTTCTTTGCTGCTCAGCTAGCCTACATCTCTAATTAAACCACGGGTTTCTCATCTTCATTTCATGGTTTTCCTTTTGGGTTGTGACAAACTTGTTTGATGCTTCCTTGCACTTCTTCGCAATGAAGTCCATCATGTCTTGGGCCGTTTTTTTCCCTGAGCTCTGTTTCCCATGTTATATCTGTTAGGAATTTTCTTAACTCCTCATAGTTTCCCTTTCGGAATGCCAGCCTTTCAGTACCCCTCCTCGAGTTCAATAATCCATCCTCAACCAGATACTCAAACGCCAGCACACTGTGGACGCTCATTCCTACTGGGGTCTCAAAGCCGATTTTCTTTATGTCTGAGTCGTTCAGAATGAAGACTAGGTCGAGTCTCGCTGGTTCATCGTTTCCTCTCATCCTAGTGGGTTCCCTGACATGTTGGCTAAGAAAGTTTCTAGTCACCACCTCCATTAGTTTGGCTCTCCATGTATCCTCTCTTCCATGCGGTTCCCTGTTATCCCAGTCTATCCTTCCGTAATTCAAGTCTCCCATGATAAGTAGATGGGATCTATTTCTTCAGGCAGCAGAGGCTGCTTTCTCAATTATAGTGTTAACTGCCCTGTTGTTGTTGTCATACTCTTGCCTTGGTCTTCTGTCATTTGATGGAGGGTTATATATCACTGCTACTACTACTTTTGGTCCTTCCATTGTCATGGTGCATGTTATGTAGTCTCTGAATCCCTCGCAGCCCAGGATGACGATCGCCTTGAAACTCCATTCTTTTCTCATTAGTAGGGCCACTCCACCTCCTCCCCATCCTTCCCTCTCTTTCCTTATTACAGTGTAGTCCTTGGGAAACACGGCATTCATTATGATGCCTGAGAGTTTTGTTTCAATGAGTCTGATTACATCTGGTTTACTTCTTGTGTTCTTTCCCGTAGTTCACTTGTCTTGCTTGTGATCCCATCTATGTTCGAGTACATCACCCTGAAGCTGACTCTCTTCTGTCCTTTATCAGATCCTATTGCTTTCCCTGAAGCAGGGAAACAGGGAGGGACCGGGATGAGAGGGGACCTGGGGGATCTGGGGTGGGTGGGGGGTGGGAGGATCTGGTGGTGTTGAAGAGAGGGCTTTTGGGGGTTGGGGAGAAAAGAGGGCCTGATGGGTGGGGGGGGGGGGCAAGGGAGGCATGGAGGGGTGGGTGAGAGGGGGAGGCTTTGAGGAGTGGGTGAGAGGGGGAGGCTTTCGAGAGTGTGTGAGAAGGGAAGGCTTGGTGGGGTATGGGAGGAGGGAGGGTTTGAGGGGGCATAAAAGGAAGGAGCGCTTGTGGGGGGGAGGCTGGGGGAAAGGGAGTGCCGAGGGGGATAAGAAACAAAGGGAGGGCTGAGGAGAGTGGGGGAGAAGGGAGAGCTCAAGAGGGTGGAGGATACTGCAGGGTTTAGGGGGTGGGGGAGAATGGAGGGCTTGGGGGTGGGGGAGAAGGGAGGGAATGAGGGATTAGGGAGGGCTTGGGGGGTGGGGGAGAAGGGAGATCCTGGGGAGGGGAGGAGGGTGCCCAAGGTGGGCACCTTGGGCACCAAGGGTTGGGGCAGGTAGGGCGTCTATTGGGTGGAGGATGGGGGAAGTGCTTCTCTCATTGTGTCTATTGAGCTGCTTGTGGATGGTTCTCCGCTTCCTTCTGGGATTGTAGGGCTCGGGGTTGTGGCTCCCTGATTCCTTTCTTTCTCCCTGCACTCCCTCCTCACTGCTGCTGACCTCCTTCTCTCGTCCCTTGTCATATCCCTCTGCAGGAATACTTTTTTGAACTTCTGTACATATGCTTGTCCGCTCTTCCTTGCTAACAAGTCCTCTTTAGTTCGCTCGCTCTTGAATACCACCTTTATCACTCGGTCTCTGTCCTTGTTGTACCAACTAATCCTGAAAACCAACAGCTCACCCCAAGCAAGCACAGTACTAGGTGAGTTTGAGGTGGTGACAATATGCCACCACCGACAGTCCTTGGGGGTTGGGTCGACTGTCCTCCGC